ACATAAGGAGATTGATGCAAAAACAAAACAAAATTTGTCCTATCTTTTTCAATTTCCATACAAAGAATTCTCTTAACTTTATCTAGATCTTTCATGTTAAATTCACCGTTCAACTTTATTTTTATCTCACTTGTCCAATTAGGTAAATAACCAATTAAAAGCACATCATCCGCATAAAGCAATAAGAACACATTTTCATTATTAGCAATATTATGTTGATAATGCAGGCAATGATCAAATTTACTCCTTTGAATCCCTATAATGAGTACAAAAGACTCAAAACTTTTATATCATTGTCAGGTGACCAGTTTAAGCCATATAAAGACATTTTGAGGAAACACATAAAGATTTGGTTAATTCATAAAAATTTATTCATGAAGTTCACCATGTAAAAAAATAGTTTTCACATTAAGTTGTTCAAGTTTCCAGTCAAAATATGTGACTAATGCAAGCATGACCCTTATAGTGGCGTACTTAACAACTGGTAAAAAAAGCTCGTTGTAATCAATACACTCTTTCTATGTGTATCCCTCAACTACTAACCTAACTTTAAACCTTGAAGGATCAGATACACTAATACCTTCCTTTACCATAAAAATCCACTTGCAATCAACTGTAGATTTATTCGTAGATTTAGGTACTAGTTCCAAAGTTTATTCTTTTTTATGGTACTCATTTTCTCTTTCATTGCTTTAGGCCACTCTTCAGATTGTTCACTCTTCATAGTTTTCTCAAAAAAAATTGGCATTCTATTGGCTAGCTCCTCATAGAGTGAACAAAAGCTAACTTGGATTTTTATTTGAATTTTCTAGGTTCTCTCATTTGTCCCCTCTCTCTATCCCTAGCTAAATTATAGTCTGCTAAGGAATTATTTTCCTTAGGATGCTCATCTATCACTACTTTCTCTCTATTTTCCACCTCATTAGAAATGGCACAAACATATGTACTAAGTGTTCCTAACTCCACATTTAATTGATCTCTCTCTTCACCTTTTTCTTCTTCACTCATAGATTCAGATTTAGTCTTAAGACAAGGCATTTCAACCTCGTTCAACTCGACATCTCTATTCACAATAATCTTCTACCCCCTTTTGGCTTCTATCCTATAACCCTTGACACTCGTAGGATAACGTAGAAAAACACAATTTCTAGCACTAGATTCAAGCTTTCCTTCACTCAAATGAGAAAATACAGCACAACAAAAAAGTTTTAAACATAGAATAATCACTTAATGTACCAGACCATTAATATTACCTTGTAATGCAGTAGATGGAGTCAAATTGATCAAATAACAAGCAATCATAACAATTTCGTCCCAAAATAACTTTACGACACCAAAACTTAATTTCATACATCGCACTTTATTAAACATAGTTCTATCTATTCCTTCAACTACCTCATTTTGTTTGGGAGTATAACGAACAATCTTATGCCTCGTTATTTCATTTTTTTGCACATATTATCAAATTTAGTGTTACAAAAATCTAGGTCATTATCAGTTCTTAAGAATTTAATCCTTTTGCTAGTTTGATTCTCAACTTGCCTTTACAAATTATTAAATTTATGGAAAGTATCAGAATTATCTTTTAAAAGACAAAGCCACACCTTTCATGTGTAATCATCAATAATAGACAAGGTGTACCTATTTTCACCCGATGTGAGATTACTAGCAGGACCCCATTAGTTTGAATGCACATATTCGAGCATGCCTTTTGTCCACGCACCTCTACTGCTGAGTTTGGGCCTGGCCTCCATTCGTTTGGGCGATGCCTGGTTTGGCTGGAATTTGAGGTTTCAAGTTTTGTTAGTTTGAGAAAAATCAATTTGGGCAAATTTGGTTGATTTTTTATTTGAAAAGCTCGCACCAACGGCTGTGATACCACATGTAGAGGAAGTCTCGATAACCAATGGTGTTTTTTGAGCTCAATATTGATTGATTCCAACAATCAATTGCCTCAACAAAATTGGCCCATAACTGAATCAAAACAGAAACAAAAGAAATGAAGATTTTTAAGATCGACACTACTCCAAAGTCGCGGTGAATCTCCATAATGGGGGTATTGGGCAAATGAAACTAAAAATATTTGTTGACATACACATTTTCTTTAGACAAGCTGATGACAAAAAATAAATAAATAAAGCTCAAGTAGGGATGCCAAAAAACTCATCAAACCCGATACTCGCGAACCCCACCCCAAACAGGACGTGAATTACCTTTTTATCAGGTATTCAATTCCCCACCCCCAGGTGGGTACGGGATGAGTGCATGTAACACTCACCCCACCCCGTTAAAATTTGTTTCCTTTAAGAATTCAACACTTCTAATGAAAAATTTCTTGAAATTTCATTATATTAGTAAAAGATGGCAACTAAAATTATCTAAAAAATATAATAAACAATAAAAATCTTAATTTTCTAAATATATTCGAATAATTTAAATTTTAAAAATTAATTAATTAATTAAAAAATTTAATAATTATATTATTGTCTCACTTTAATGAATGAAGGCAAAAAAACTGAATTATCAAAAAAAAAAAATTTAAATAAAAAATGGGTAAAGGCCTAGCCTCGAGAGAGAGACTTTCCGTCATCCTCAATTTTTTCTCACTTTTTGTGACTTTTTTGTTGTCATCCTTTTTCACATTAGAAATTATAAATGTTCAATTTATTTATTTTTCCTATTTTCTAATTAGCTTCATTAGAGTCATTTCTTTGTTTTTCCACAACTTTCACAATTAAACCAACCTACATTTCATGGACTTCATCCACCTTTATAGAAGATAATAGTGTGGCAGATTGCTTCATAAACAAGGGTTTCTTAGACACGTGACAGAGAGAAAATTAAGGAAGATGATAGTTTGACATATTACTTAGCGAACAAGAATTTATTAGACACATAATAAGGAGTAATTTGTCGATATGAAGTGCATCGAACATCGTCAGAGCTTTATTACCTTTTTCTTAACAAGGAGTAATTTGTCGATATGAAGTGCATCGAACATTGTCGGAGCTTTTTGACCTTTTTCTTTGTTATTAATTCTGGAAGTAAAGCTTTACGTTTCTCTTTTCACTTTCTTTAGTGAATGGGGACTGGAATGTCGTCTGTTACCAACCACTCAATATTCCTAGTAACTTGACAGGTACATGTTGAGCTAATACAGTGCAAATTACTAATTTTGAACGGACATATAATCTGTATAAAGTTAACAAATAATTTAACTATATATTTTAAGATATCCATAATTTTCACCCACACATTTCATCAACTTTTATCAAAATTTACTTAAAATCTAATTTTAATCCCCACCAAACATGGGAATAATATACCTTTCTTCGACTTCTTGTAAACTTCATCGGATGATTCATCGTGCGTCGGATAAAGGGAAAGACATATAGCACAATATATTATTCATACGTGTAGAGAAAGTAACTTGCAAGCTAGTTATAGTGTGCATATACATATTTAAATTATATCTTGGACTCGTTCTCTCACGAATTAAACAAATTACTTCTTTCACTGTAATTCTAATTTCTATATCGGTGACAATGAGACAAGACAACAAATGTAATTCATTTGATATCATATTTAATTGCATTGAATTATCTCGTGAAAATTCAGAGCTGATCCAAAGAAAAACACATTGGATGTGAAATAGAGAGGAACAACATTAAACATTCAAGCCAACTAGACTGTTGTTTCACTACTTGAAGAAGAGTTTAATGATGGGATGGAATTAAAAAGGTTGAAATTTTTTGTAGGCCCTTTTTAAAGTGTTGTATATTGAATAAAAATGTTGTGTTAATTTATTTTTTATTTTTTAATTATAAAAAGGTCGCGAAGGACAAAAGGTCGACACGTTCGACTTGAGGTGAATATTGCAAGTGCTTATACACGCAAAGTTTGATGCAATCTATTTGATATTTGACACTTTCAACCATCTTTCTGTTAGACAATATTATTGACTAGCAAATGAAAACAACTTGCGAGAAGAGAGTACGTCTTCACTACTAAGGAATAAATCCCACGCTAAATAAACATAAGATAGATAACCAACATATAAAGTTTGTACCACTCTTCTTTAAAAAGTTGTCCCTTTAAAATGGTACCCCCAATGCTTAATGCTCTTTCTATTAGAGCCGTAAAGCACAAATGAACAATTCGATTCAACTAGCTCAAACAGCACACAAATTTCAAAAGATGTTTCAACCAAATCACATCCCTTCATGCATTTTAGATATTTGATAATTTCAAATCCAACTTATATTTTAGTTCGCTTTATATTTTATTTCGCATTTTTATCTCTCCTTTTTGAGTGATTTTTTATGTTAATTTTGCTTTATCTTAATTTCTAATGATATAAATTTCTTGATGATAATAGAATCATCAATGTTATTATTTTCCACAAGAATTAAACTTGTGGTACATCTGGGGGTACCGAAGCGTGTACCTGATGGACACGCGACGACCCCCAGGTACACGCGACGACCCCCCATTGGAGGAAGCACATGTCGACCCCCCATTGGAGGAAGCGCATGTGACATGCGCTTCCTCCAATGGGGGGTCGTCGCGTGTCCATTAGGTACACGCTTCGGTACCCCCGATGTACCAGTAGCATTACCGTTTTCCACAATGCACATCAAATCCTGACTGACAGAACCACCGGAATTAAACCTAGGTTTGGCAAATGTTTATAAATAAGACCTACACATTTTAAAAGACCCACAAGTTTACCACTTATTCACCGATCCTTTCTATCTATTTATAAATTAAACTGTTTATAAACAATTTTCATAGAAAGCTTCATTAATATGGATTACTGCCATTCAGATATGAAACCATAATGTATACACACCAAAGTTGAATGCAAAAGTCATGGTATATAGACAAGATAATTTTTAACATTTTATCAATAAATGCACTCATTTTTATAGAATGTTTTTACGTACGGCTAAATAATTGAGCAATATTAAAGAAGAAAAACTTTAATTTTTAGTCAATAATCCAACTTAACAATATTAAGAATTCTCAGTTCTATATACAAAACATACATTGTCCCAAGTAATTTTTTAAATGTTAAAAACCACCTGTAAATCGGCTAAGAAAATGGTTCTGTTAATTTCCATGTCTAAATCTAACATCAAAACACAAGCCAAGGCCATATCAACTCACTTCACCTTTTGTCATAATAGGCCATGGACGAGCTACAATCTAATTTATCAGAGTCTAATACTGCATCGGCAGCGACATTCTTCAATGAGCACGGGAGCTCCAGACTCTCTGCAAGTATGCCTGTGCAAATCCCGGGGGATAGTCCTCTAGTTTCACGCTTTTGACATCAAATGCAGGACCTCCTTTTATAGAATCCACTTTAAAGAGAAAGAATGCAAGTGTCACAAAGAGGAGAGAGAGTTTTAAATAAAATAATTTGTTCTCTACAATAGCTTAAACTTTTAAATAAGATAGATAAACATATACTTGCCAGGGAGAAGATATTGAGCCTGTTTGTGAGTGATTTTTCCCCCTTAAAAATTGATTTTTTGACCGTTATTTCCATATTCCAGCCATCGTATTTGACTTTTTCTTTCACAGGTGGACCCCATTTTTCTTCTAATGGTCAAAAAATTAATTCTCAAAATCACTCCCAAACACGCTCATAATAGAATTATAATGAAGAAAAGTAATGGATCTCAAGCATAGAAAATAAGTGGGTTGTAAATGTGTGGCTATTAATGTTTTTACTTTGATTTCAATTTATAAGAAGATTATAATTTTCTCCCAGACAAGTTGGAGAACAGACAAAGGTTTTATTTCCAAGTCTGCCATCATGAATTTATAAATATCATGCAAGCATCAAGCATCTGATAGAAAATGAATTTAGCATGCATGTGAGACGTATGTTGAAGACATAATTAAATGAATTAATGTGCCTCATCTCTAACATCTTAAACTTTTAAAAGGAATACTACATCGTACCATGTGAGGCGGCAGTAGTAGATTCTTTGCTAGAGCCTCCTTGTTCCCCTCTACGAACAAAAATATCTGTTTGTCCTACATCTTTTCCACCAATCATGTCTATTTCCATGTCAATCACCTCATTATTGTCCCCATCAAAACTTCCACACACATCATCTGAAGGTCTTTCATCCAAAGTAAGGGATCTATCTTGGCATGCAGTGTCATCTCGTTTTTCACGACGGAAGAATCCCCAAATGAAGTAATTCCCTTTCCATCCTGTGAAAACATCCAGAAATGCAAATTCAAGGCCATTAAGCTGAACCTAAAAGAAGTTTGATCAAAAGATATGCCATGACAATCATATAAGATCAAAGAAACATTGCACCGTTGGTCCCCCAATCTATTCCCCAATAGCAATTTAGTCCCAAATCTTCACAAGGGAGCAAGTCAGACTCCATCTTTTCATTATAGTTGTACAATCAACCCCCAACCCAACATGAAGATTGAAGTATATTATATATTGATAGACAGATAAAAGCTGAAACACATATTATCCTCATACATAACTGCTCCATAACTGTATTAGACATAGAAGCAGGAAAAATAACACTAATGTCAATAGACAAATCTGTCAAAAATAGAATGCTGAACATATTTAGAGACTCGAGACTCACGTTGACAATCCAGGCTCAGGCGAGTGGAAGCAAATAACAGCAGTTCAACGTCAGCAATCTGTTTCCTCAAGGCCAAGTCTTTCTCAATCATAGACACCAGCAAGGAAAAGTAATCCTTAGATCTACATAACAATACATAAATAAACGTAATGAAACAGCATATGGCAAGTTGAAAGAGGAACAGGATTTACGCAAATACATTGTAGATATATACCTTTCACTGTTGCTTGGAAAGAAGTAAAGCCCAATGTTTTTCCCATCCGGACAATATGCCTGAAATAAGTTCATCCAGAGTTCTCTACAAGGGAATAACTCAAAATGAAGAACTTCGGGCAATAGCATTGAGAATTCATAGACCTTTCTATGAACTTTTCCAGGAGGATGGGCTTGGATTGGATCACTGAGTGTCCAGTGTCTAAAACCATTATGAATACTGAAGCTTCCCCTAAAAAGCAGCCAAGGAAAAAATGCTCAGCATATTGATTGCAGGAGTGTGAAAATGTGAAATGTTACTGATTCATCATTGCACAATAACTGTTGTAAAATTGGCAGATCCTTTGCAGTGACTTTTTACTTGCAAACACATTTCACACATTGACAATCTACAGGAAGTTAAAAATTAATAAACGTCTCCAGGTGCGTTGAAGAGACCATATAGTTGGGAAAACCCATCAAATCAGAGGCTTGCATATTGGTCGGTCCAAATTGGATACTGAGAAAGGGTATAATAAATAGTTTCCAATTAATAAGGCCAGGGAGAAAATCATGTTAATATAAAAGGAAAGATCAGATGTAGATACAGCAACTAACAATGATCCTTATCGAGAGAATTTGTGATAGTATTAGGATGACCTGGTTCAATCCATGCTTACTTCTTCCCCCAAAACCCCCCCCCCCCCCCCACACACACACACACACACCATATCTTGAACCTCATAGACTCTATGCCACTAAACTCCCCGAACACCTTTCCTGTTGAACAATATATTATTTTGAATTATCTCCAACAAGTACTGATAGAGAAAGAAATTTTCAAAAACATTGGTTAGGAAGAGTAGGCAACTTACATCCACACGGTACGTATAGCAGGATTACTTGTAGATACCTCCACATAAGGCAGAATACTATTATTCATGTTGTCAACAGTAGAAGCCCTTGGCTCTACATAGGGAAGAATATTGTTCACGTTTGCAGCACTAGAAGTCCTTGGTTCTGCATAGGGCAGAATACTACTATTCAGGTTCTCAGCATTAGAAGTCCTTGGCTCCACAAAGTGCAGAATACTACTGTTCACGTTCTCAGCATTCGTCATCCTTGGCTCTACATTGGGTAACACCTTTGAAGTATTAGAAATTTTTGGCTCCACATCAGGCCGAATACCATTGTTAGCATTCTCATCATCAGAAGTCCTCGGTTCTACATCTGGCAGAATACTATCATTCACATTCTCAGCATTAGAAATCCCTGGCTCCACATTAGGACAACCATCACTTCCTGAAATAGATCTTCACTTGAGTACAAAGCATTGTCATAACCTCAACATAATTTTATCAACTACTTTCAATCAAAAGTTGAATGTTTTATACGACAGGCTGTGATATCACTTCAAAGTTTATACTAAGAAGAACAGTGCCATTGTATTTGTGTATGAATAAGTACATATTTCCAATTAGAACCCCTCTCTCAGCTCTCTTTGGATTTTCTTTCATCTCATAGTTTCGGTAACTCCACTTGTGTTTCTGACAGCCAGTCCCAAACCAGGGGAGGGTTGCAATGAGTTGACAGCCAGCATAAAACTTATAGCATGAATTCTAAGAATATTTTTCATAGTTTTAATACAATTATTGAACATATGGCACTTTTGTAGCATTTCTCCCATATTACTCTCATAGGCACACTACATGTTCTCTCTCGTATACTCTTCATATTTTGTACTTATTTTTAAATATATTGTGATGTCAGAATGTGAAATAATGTACGTAAAATTTTCCATAAGATTGTCATGTTCCTTTAATATTTTCCATTAGACCTTGCATTTAGTTGTGCTATACTAATTTCAAACCCGTAGAGTGTTGTGGCGACATAACTACATATAGTTCACTTTTCCATTTGATTCTTGACGCAGCGAGAAAAAGGAATTCAAGCAAAAACCTTGAGTTCACGAAATTTGGAATCACCAAATTAAAGAGAGAGAAAATTTCACGAATTTTATTGATGATGAAAAAAAATAAATAAATAAATAAATAAATTGACCCTTTATTTATAAGGATTTATATGAAAACGTAATTTAAAACAACTAAAAGTAATGAAAACAAAGTTTAAACAAACTAAAATTGCAAAAAACCCAACATACACGAATTGACAAAAATAGCGACAAAACTTTAAAAATCAGTTTTCGGGTCCTAAACGAACTCAAATAGCCGAAATTCATCGTACGTCACGGCATAGTCGCGTATATTGTTCCTCTAGTCGTTTTTTTTTTTCCAGAATGGTCTTATGGGCCCAATTCGAAATTAGAATATTCTATTTCTATTAGTATTTTTTTTCCAATATGTCCTACGTCAATTCCATAATCATAAATTGGTGTAATTAATATGATGATCTACCTATATTCGAGTAATCATACCATAGACAAGTTTGATCTCGGGAAAAATGAGTCGGATCACATTACATGAATTTCAAAGTCAACAGAATTACTTATGATATTACTACAAAATGAAAATAGTATTGAAGCATTTCACGTACCAACTGCCAATAACAAGTTTGTAAGGCTGAATGGCAGATTTCTCTTTTCATTACAATAAACATTAAAATCTTGTGGTTTTCAAAATGGAAACTACGAGCTATAACTGTCTTCCTTTATATAAAAGTATTTTAAAGCCCACATTCCTGACAAATGAATGATTATAAACTCACGCCACTCAATTGCATCTCAGATTTTAATTATTATCCTCCCATAATAAAATATCCGTGAATCTTTATCATAATATCAGTACTACGGACATTTTATTTATTCACTTCAACATCATGAAATTGATGAATTTTATTCACACAAATCGTACTTCAGTAGCAAATTGGCAGAATCAAGAAAAGAACAGAGAAATGATCTTGCCTGAGATAACTACTGGGCGAGACGCTGATGGTAAAGATGTAGGTGAGAGTTTCTTGATTGCATTTACGATTTCTGCAGTCCGTTCCTTCTGAACATGTTCATGAATAGGAGTTGGAGCAGCTTGAATGACATTCACTGATCTTAGCACTTATAATGAGATCATAAAGCATTTAGTACATTAATATTATCTAATGTGATTATTAAACTAGAGTTCACCCAAAAATTCATAAGGTTTCAGATTTATTAACTGAAGCAGATATTACTGATAAGACTCTATTGATTAGTATAAGTTATAAAATACAAGACCTAATCTTCTTGTCACATTATGATGGTGGTAATATTGAAAGAAATTTTGAGTTCAACAATCATCTGCAACTCTATTGATTTGTATAAGCTATGAAATCCAAGACTTATCATCTCCTCACATTCTGAGAGAAGGTAATACCATTACCATATTTAATATTGAATCCTTGCAACCCTTGCGTGTACTTTATCCAAAAAGTATTAGTATTCGGCAAAAGTAAATTAGCTTAGCATGTTCAGCTAACATAAGTAAAATCTTTGGTTTCCAAACATATTTGGATATGTTATTTTTTTCACCTATTTTTAAGTAAAGTTGCTTACTTTAAAAGTAAGCTAGTGTGAATAAGTAACATAGGCCCTGTTTGACCCACATTCTTAAACAGTGATTGGACATCGTTTCAACCATACATTATTTAATAAAATAATATTACACGTAAATCCAAAATTTTTCTTTATTTTTTAATCACGTGTTTTCCATCAATATACTATTCAAAAATGCATTCTTATAGAAATAATATGGCTCAAACAAGGGCTTATTTTAAACTTTAGCCAGTAAAAGAAAAAACTAATTTAAAAACTTAGATTTACTTATTAAGAAAACTTTTTATACCGAACGTAAGCTAAACATATGTATATCAAACGCTTGAATTCAATCTTATAGAACAAAGTAATCACCTCTGAGTTCTTTAGACTGCTGCTGTCGCCAAGAGATCTCAACATTGCCATGTTTTTGAGGCTTTAACTTCTGTGAAGGACCTGAAGCAAACTTTGCTTTATCCAGATACGCAGAGAACTTCACGGGTATCGTTTGGGGCTTGATAGAAGTTCTCCCAAGTAAATTCACCTCAGTCTTGAGTTGTGGAGGGATTGTGTGACGAGTGACCTTCTTAGGGGACAGACTTTTTGGGGCTCCTGACGAGAGCTTTATGGCCTCTGTAACAGGGATATATTTTGTACTCCTAGTTGCTACCTTCTTTTCCAAGTTAACAGAACCCTGTCTTGTTTCATTTGATAATTTTCTACTCGTCAAAGAAGGGGTAGCATCATGGCGCACTGTCCCAAAGTTTATTAACTTTGACCCTCTCGGTAAGTCTCCCCTTGGACAAGATGCTGTGGAAACTGATACAGCTCTATGCTCACATTCGTCGCAATACCATTCTGTCGGGTACTTCTCAAAATACATTTGCATGCAATACCTAGATAAATATATAAAAGTTGACTATAATACATAATACCCAAAGAATTACAAAATTTCCTGAACTTGTTATTCTAGCTAAAAGCGCAGAGTAAAATTATGCTTAAAAGCACCAGATACACTGGAGGAATAGATTTCTTCATTGCAGCAAGTCTAGTGAGAAATTAAAAATTATCCCCCAGCATGCATGGACACACACACACACAACATGGAGATAGAGAGAGCTGTCTTACAAATGCTCATTAATTTCTTTACAATGAGAGCAAGTAACTAATGCCTCAGCAAAGCCAATATCACCACATATATAGCAACATCCATCCTGGGAGTCAGGAGAGAGGCGTCAAAAACCTTAACAGATTACATAGAAGTAGCAACAGAATTTCTCAAAATATTATAAAAGTTAATCATGTGCATAAGTCACGCGTTGTCAGCATATTCATAAACACAAAAAGAATAATGAAAAAATTAATATGCTATTAGATGGCCAATGTTATGTATGAAGAAGTAAGACCTTTGAATACAAAGCAAAACTTAATGAAACTTAGAGAATTACATATTAAACATTTCAAGAACATGAAATATGGCATTTGATTTCTTTTCGAAGTTTGAAAATCATTAGAAGGATTGTTCACAATAATTGGAAGTCTATTTATCAAAACAATGATAAAACCAAGAAATATCATGGGCAACACAGTAAATGATACTTTCAGAAACTTAAGAAAGTAGGTTGAATTTCAAAATCGTGAAAAGTTAAAGATCTGCTGAGACAAAGACAGTCTGAATTAACCTTAGTTTGCCTGAATGTTATTTTTCAAAAACTAATTTAATAGAATTCACACAATCAGTATTTTTATAATGCAAACGCCCAAGATTAAATTGAAAGCAACCAAAGAGAGTGCGCGCGGAAAAAAATTAAAAATTAAAAATAAAAATAAATAAAAATAGAATTGCATGATTGATTTCCCTTCGACAATGTCCTCTTTCTATATCCTGTACTGCTTCAAAGAAAAAAGTAATATTGTGAAAACTACGAAGATAAAAAACTTGGAAAATTTTATCAGTCACTAGAAAGGGCCCAGGCCTGCTATTCTGATGCATTCAAACCACAAAAGTGTATTTGTTTCAGAGAAATAAAGGCAAAACAAAGATGGTGAAGAAGTGCAGCAAATTGATAATGTGATAGTTCAACATAAAGTGTACTGAACTAGAAAAGGAGAGACTTAAATCAGCTAACTGTCTATAAATATCTACATATAACAGAATGATTAGGGGAAGGCTCATTGTTTGAACACTCCTGAGCAGCTTGAGGATTGTTAAAGGTGTCTCCAGCTTCAAAGGATAAACTAAACAACTTTGGCCCTCACAGCACTGACTCCTCTACTTATTGTCTCTTGTTAGTAATCAAGACGAAAGCAAACAATTCCCACCAAAAAAGAACATCCAGACTCAAAATTAATTGGGTAGAAATGGAAGACTTTAACAGAAAAATCATCATTTACTTGCAGAATGTTGACAAATGCGTATACAAACACAAGGGGAAAGATATAAATGCTACAAAGAAACACAAATAAGTCCATTTTGTTATCACGCAAAAGAGCTCCCTGCATCTGCACCCCACCCCTACCCTTTGCTCTCATCGTCCAGCCCATGACACCCCTGCGTCCATCCTTCACCAATGGGACCATGGAAGAAGACGACTTCAGTCAATTTGACAAACTTGGAAAAGGACAAGAGAGGAAATTAGGAGTCATTCTAAGTTGGAATCGATTTACTATTTTAGAAAAGGATAAAATTTCTTCAAGAGTAAGCATGTTGTAAACGTTCTACAAAAATTTAGACGTTAGAAAAAATCCTCAAACAAATTCCAAGAACTAGAAAAAAGGGCAATTTGTTCTTTTGGAGCTGACATAACAAAAACGAAGCCAACGCAAGTGCAATCCTAAAAATAAGAATGAAAGGCAATTTCGTTATGTTTGCATACCAGCCTTGTGGTCTGGAACTTCTAGATCCAATCGAAGCATATTGATCCATAGATTGATTTAACTCCACTTAACAAACTGACGAACCTATAAACTTCAAACTATAAACCCTAACAATTTCTAAATTCTTAAGATCAAGAGGAGGTGAGAAATTCCAAAGAATTGAAAGGAGGAAAAGTATCACAAGTAGACGTAACACCAGTCAAACCCATTAATCATTTCATACCAACTTTCAAGTACAGACGCAAAGTACCATCAGGAATAATGATTCTTTTAGCGAACATGTTCAAAAGACTGCTGAAGCTACCATTACTTGAACTTTTTCCTATCATTTCAAGCTTTTAAAAAACACTGGAAAACAAGCATAACACGGCATGTTCATAATCAAATTTTCAAATTCCAAGAAACCCATCTCCTTTTTCAAGGGGGGAGATGGACTTAAACAAATAAATTCATCCAGTACCAATTTTTATTTAACAAGAAAAAACAAAAAAAATCCAAAGAATCACGGAATATAAAAACAAATTAATAATTACATAAAGTAAAATACAGCACAAATACCAGCTAAAGTTTCATCATTTTTTGGCAAGCAACGCCATTTTACCATTTGCGTTTCTCAACGTGAAGATCGAGAAATGTATACAGAATCTAAACAAAAATCACCCGTTATATCATTATTTGATTAAAATCTTCAATTTCTCTCACACGAAACATAAAAGTATTTGTGCAGAGCCACGTAACTTTTAGTGCTAGGTCCAAGAACTTGAAAAGAAAAAAAAAAGTACTGATATATAATTAAAATAGAAAACCCCATTCACTAAACCCGTCACAACCCCAGAGAGAGTCCATTCATGAAACTCATTTCACCCTCAACCCTCCACAGCCGAGAGAGAGGGAGAGTGGGATTCTCCGTACATGCACATTTTGTCTTTGCGTAGCCGTGTTTGTAGAGAGAGAAAAAGCTTCACAAAGATCCATACAGTTCAAATCATAAAAAATGAATAAAATATCCAAAAAAAGTGCCAACTGCAACACAACATGCTTTGCAACGGCAGTCACGTTGTTTATTAATGGCGGAAACCCCAAAAAGAAAAAGGAAATTTCGAATATCTTTTACCATTTGGCATGCCTGTTCATCTGTCATCCCAGCACCACAATCAGAGTTCGTCACTGCTGATCAATCTCCAATGATTATGACCATACACAAGGAGTGAATTTACAAGCGAGCAAAGATGAGAGAGAAAGTCGGTGTACTGTCTGGGGAAGGTACCGTCGAGAAAACACACCCTCCTCCAAGGCATGAGCATCGATTTTGAATACTTTTAGTTGCCATTTTTAAAATAATTCAACCTATAAGAGAGTTTATTATTGATTGATTTTGAAATTTTTTTAAAAATGGAAAATTATGCCCTTCCGGCCCATTTTTTCCATCAAAATATATTCTTTGAAAGTGATATAATCCTACTTCAACCACACATTTCCATCGATACATTATTCAAAAATGAATTTTTTAACTAGAATGAAACTCAAACAAGGGCACAATATATGTGCATCTTGGTGACCTTTTTAATTTGTAGTTTTTTATATGAATTTTTTATTCATAAGTGATATTTTATTTATAAGTAATTTTTTTTTTAAGTATAAATTAATATTTAACTTAAAAAGTTAAATGAAGTTAGATATTTAATTAAAATTTTAAGTTAGTATCTTTTACTAAGAAGTCAACTTTTCAATTATAAGTTAATTTTGCACTTATAAATAAATTTTCAGTAAAGTTTTTACTTATAAATAACTTTTTATATTTTATAAGTGAATTTTTATTTAATTAGTAGTATTTATTTTGCCTTGTTTGATTTCTATTTTTTCCAAAATGTATTTTTCTCTCTCTTCTTTTCAGCTACATATTTTTCAATAATATTACAAGTAAATTTAAAATTTTTCCTTATTTTTTAACTGCAATTCTCCACGAATCAACTATTTCAAAATGCATTTTTTCCAATTTAATTGAGCTCAAACATTTTTTATCTCGTAATTAATTTTTTAATTATAAATTAATTTTTTGCTTCTAAATAAATTTTTAGTTAGAGGTTGTTTGATCACCTTTTTTTTGTCTAAAATACATTTTAGAATAGTGATTTGATGAAAAATATATAGTTAAGTAATAATGAAAGTTTCGTGTTTGCATATAATATTATTTTATTGAAAAATATATGATTAAAATTAAGAGAATAATAAAATATATTTTGAAATGAATAAGGATCAAACAATGGCTTAATATATTTTTATTTACAAGTTAGTTTTGAATAAAGTATGTCGATTGAAAATAATTATTGTATAGATAGTAAAATTATAATATAACATGAGAAGCAATCAAAACCTATCGATTTGGTTGGTTGAGAAAATCAATTAAAATTGCAATTCACCAAATTTGGGAAGTTTTTAAACCATCCAAAACTAGTGTTCAAAAAAATTAACGTACGTCAATTTTTCGAACTCCTCGTGAATGATACCACCCAATATCAATCAAAATCAGTGGAAAGAACTCCCAAACAAGCCCTAAAATGGTAGGTTTTTCAGCTATTGAATTTAATTTAACTCCTATATTTTTGAAGGTGCTCAAGTTATAAGTTTTATTTATCACTTGTCTAGTGTGGATTAAAATTTAATTTTTAGTAAATTTTTATAAAAGTTAATAAAATGTGTGATTTAAAAATTTTAGGGCTCATAAAATATGTTTTAAAATTAATTGTTGATTTTGACTTAAATTAAAATCTAGATTTTTATTAATACCAAATAGGGCTTAATGTGACCTCGTCCCATCATAGTGGGATTTTCGGGAGTCAGAGTGAGAACATGATAGAAGTGAGATTAAAATATCTTCCTTTCTCGTCCAGTTTACTTTCATAGAGGGATGAGACAAGAACATACAGACCATTTAGCAATTCCTAGTTTTAGTTAAAATAGCTTCGGGGATTGATGTTGTCTTATATCATTAACTGAAAGTGTGGTCGAACGCTTATATAACAACATATCAATAGTTACTTTTTCATACAAATTAGGATGTGATCGATTGTGTTAAGGCAAAATTTAAGTTGATGTAGCATTCAATAAGCAAGCTATGTGTTTTAGCATATAAGTTCAGGACTTATGAGATATGAACGCCAAATAATTAGTGATTTACGTAAATTAAATAAGTAGCTTACATCTTACTTATTGTTTCATTTTACGTGGAACTCGTTTTTACTTTTTTTAACTGCACATTTATGGCGATTAGTTTTAATTGGTATAATGTCATGATCCAATAAAAGACAAGTCGAATAACCAAAATAAAATAAGTTGAAATTGATTGACCAGCCGATGTAAACCTAGAAGTTGAGTAACCTCTAATAGAATTTGCCCGATTATTTATTGTGTCAAAGGAAGTGACAATTTTGATTGTTTGTGGTAATAACTTGACAATCATTACAGTAAAACACATTTTCTTTTCTTTTTTGATCGTTGATTGTATCTCTGAGTTAGTGATAATTATCATTAATTTAAGTAGGAGGGTTCAATTTAATATACTAAACAATTAGCCAGAGGGCCCACCACCGAGTGAAGATAGATGGGACTATGTAATTTAAAAGGAGCGTGAAACTCACAGAAAAGTCACAGATCACTCGCATTGGTGGGGTCTAGATGATTTTATGCCAGTTTTTTAATAAAAGTAGGGGCCCGCACAAGTGACTATATGGCAAATTTCTGTTAAATGAATAATTATGTACAAATGACATTTTCCAATTTAAAATTCCTAACGTGTGTCATAAATATATACACTAGTCTATTGTACACCCTTTCGAAATTTTTGGAATGTTGAGCTTGAGCGATATGAACAAAAAGAACATTTAGAGGTTTTCGTTTTATAAAAATTTCAGTAAATTTTGATAAAAATTATTAAAATATTTAATTGATAAAAGTTGTGAATTAGACAAAATGTACTATTACAATTAATGATTAACTTTAATATCATTTTTTAACAAGTTTTTAAATTATTTCAACAAGCAATTAATACACCACATACACCTCTTCATGAGCTATTCTAGATGTAAGGGTATATTACATGCAATTAAAATTTATCGAGCAATATTTTGTAGGTCCAAATTTTTTTTATCAGATTTTATACAAGGAAACAACTATCTCCCTGTGATTTTCTGTTACCAAAAACTATTTTTGGCAACAGCTAATCCTTCTAAGACAGCTATGTTTCCTGTATAAAATCTATTAAAAAAATTTGTACTGAAAACATTTCTCTTTATCGAGGGTTAAATTTGAGAAATACGGAGTTAAATTATTTTACTTGACAATAAATTATTTCAAACAAGCAATTAATATACGACTCTTCATAAGCTATTCCAGATGTAAGGTCATATTACACGTGATTGAAAGATATTATTTTACTCCCACGTGGTCAAGGATTTGAGAAAACAAGAGTTAAATTAGTGGGTTATGGTCATCATCTTATTCGTTGACACGTTAGATGTTTGCTTGATTTATGTTGTTTGATTATTAAATAAGTCAGATTTTCGTGTTTTAATTTATTATTCCGTTTTCAAAGATGTTCGAATCAACAAGGATGAAACCCCCTACATTAAATTACATTACATTTCATTTTTTTTTCTTATTTTCAACCATACAATTTTTCAACTACTCATTTTTCAAAAGAAAACACTCTTCCACCCATTTTTACTTCAAAAAATGGAGGCCAAACGGGGGCGAAAGAATAAAACTAAGTGATCAAAGTTAAAGGCATGGTACACCCCTCCAATAGAAGTGAATTTGGCCCTGGCTTTAAGCCTGGCCAAACAACACGATTCAGGATGACAATACAAATTGTATCAAGGGTTCGATTTAACTTATTCCATTTATTAAATACACGTTATTTAGTCCATATCGGGTTTTGTTAAAAAGGTTGATGAAAATATAAATCAATGTTAACAATTGATTTTAATCATATATTATATATGTAATTCATAATTTTTTATCAACTTTTCAACCACTACTTTTATTGAAATACGAAAGGAAAAAAAAACGATTTCTAGCAAAACTTTAATATAATATAATACTTAAATTTTCTTAACTTACATTATATTTGTTATGTTAAAAATAAAGTTAACTGTATTCTATTTTATGATGTTATATTGAAGAGAAAATATAAAAGAAAGTGAATGAATTTTTCTTCATCAATAATCACTAATGGAAGCACTATTAGTGATTGTCGATAACATCGTGGATGATATTTTCATCAGTATTTAAAAAAAGAAAAAAAAGTGAAGAAAGAATAAATTATTTTAGTCGACAATCAACTATCGAAGCACCGTTAGTGATTTTGAATAATATTAGAATGAAATTACCCCATAATAAAAGCTCGTAGAAGTGTTTATAGATGCCTACTCGGATAGTTGTACTTTTTTTTCTTTTGAAAATGTAACGTTAGCACACTGAACTTCTGTTTAATTTAGCTCAAAAGTTACATACATACATATACATATACATATACATATACATATACATATACATATATATATATATATATATATATATATATATATATATATATATAAGGAATGATGAAATGTATAATTAAAAAATTGATAAAAGTTGTGCGCTTCATAAAACGTATGATTGAAAATGAATTAAAGGAAAAATTAACTTTAGAAAATGAAAGTCAAATAGGGATATATAAGTAGAAGAACATTGGAACTCATAAAATCACGCTGAGAGACGATAAATGCAATCTACGACTAAAAATGCTTAAATTTTATTGGGGCTAATGGAATAGAGATTTGGAGTTAGTGCGGATAGAGATAGATCGCCATTTTCTCTCTCTCATTTTCCTTTTAATCACGTTTAACTAATGACTTTTTAAGTCTCACAAATTCCTTTATTATATTATCTTCTACGAATTAAGTAAAATAATATAAAGAAAGGACATAAGGAGAGAAAAACATTTTATTTATAGAAAAATTTAAACAGACAAACCCATTTAACTCCCATTAATTTTCATTCCATTACA